AAAACATTTTTTTTTTGCTTCATCTGCATAGTAGGTAGATACATAGTAAAAGTCTCTCAGCACCTAACAAAGCTTTCTGTTAACAAAACAAAAATCTTTTTTGATCTGACAAAAATTAGTGGTTGTTTTTGCCCATTCACTTCCTCAAACATCCTTCAGTCTGTCTTCCACACCAGAGGTCTGCAGGCTGGCCTGTGAACCATTTCTAGCTCTTTACCTGTTTTTGTAAGGCACGTTTCATTGGAGCACAGTTGTGCTCATTCGTTCATGTATTGTCCTTCTTTCGTGCTAAAAAGGGCAGAGTTGAGTAGTTGCAACAGAGACTGGCCTGCAAAGCCCAAAATACTTGCTGTCTGACCATTTATAGAGAAAGTTTGCCAGTTCCTGTTTTACCTCCTTCCTGTGGAATTCTTCCTAAAACCTAGATCAGATATACCATTTGTCTGCTGAGAAACATTAGTTTCTCACTGCTTGCAATTCTAAATAAAATCTTTAGCTTTACATTCAAATCTTTCTGTAGTCTCCAATCACTATGTCAAGTTCAAATTCAGTATTTCTTGCTATTTTCAGTGATTCAGGCTGAAGATTGGCAGCTTACAGGCTGAATTTGGTCCCCATACTTATTGGGTCCATATAGTGGTTTTGTTTTGTTTTCTTGAATCAGCATTTAAAAACTAGATGATATCACAAAGAAATTCAGATTTCTAGTTCTTGACAAGTCAGGAATTCTGTTAACCCTGGCCCCACAGCCCCCAGTGTAACAGTCTATTAGTGCTGAGTAGCTTCCTGCCTCCCCCATATGGAGTGGTACTGTCCACTTCTGCACAGCCTGCATCACCCCGGTGTTGTAGCCATATTGCACCCAAACCTAGTCCTCCTCAATCCTGCACATTACCTGCTCTGGCCACTGTAGGCATTTGAGTTTGCAACGCTGGGCCTAGATATAGTGAGCCACGTTATGGTCACCTGTTCTACCTTGTTATCACATTATCTCGTGCTACACCTTCTGCCTAGAAGATCCTCATTGTCCCTGAAAATTCTTCATCCTTTAAGACTCAGTTAATCTTTAAGACTCACATGCCCCCTTCTTTGGGTAGCCTTCTCTGTCAAAGTCAGTCACTTCTTCCTCTGTGCCTTGGTGCTACGTTGTTCATATAGTTAGAATGGCACCTGTGATGTTGTATTTTAGTTACCAGTTTGTAAGTTTCTTGAGGGCAAAGTTTGTATCTTATTCATCTTTTGTTCCTAGTTCCCAGCATGATGATGGATAGAGTGGGAGCCAAAAAAGGGTTGCTGAATTATATGGTGTTACCACCTAAAAGCTTGGAAGGTAGTAAAGGATTCATTTGGTAGAGAGAAAAATTCATATTTTTCCCACCTAAATGCATCTTCTTTTCCATTAAGCATTTCACTTAGTTTCCTCTTTTTCTACCCTATGTTTATAACAAACTCATTTGTGTTTTCCAGGCAACTGATACTTCATTTTTCATAAGGGTTACCAACACTTAAAAACTGTGTCCAGGGTTAGATTTCTCTGCCTTTAGTTAGAGCTCATGCACACAGCTGCTGAGCTGCTCTTTACCAGGGGTGTGTGCCCTTGGATAGGTTACAAAGTTTTCCAAGTCTCAGTTTCTAATGGTAAAAAAAGGAATTGCAGTAGTTCCTATCTCAAAGGATTCTTGGGAGAAATGAATGAGAATATTTACATAATGCTTAGAATAGAGCTTGGCACAGAGTATTTACTCAATAAATAGAGCTGCTCATTCAATCAATTATTCTTATTACTTTCCTTAATGTTGTGTAGGAGGCACACAGATTATCTTCCCTTTTCTTGGTTGTGACTGTTAGGAGTCATGGTGATTAAGACCATTGGCCCATCTGCAGAAACTGTATGCCAGGCCATCCTTTATTTAATCTTAGAACATTGCATTTGGAAGAGATTTTGGAGATCAGATGTTCTAACAGGTGCTTGCCAAAGGAGCAGTCCTCTCTCCAGTTTCCAGTTAGAGATGCTCATTCATCTATGGGCTATCAGAACATTTCAGTGACAGCAGCTGACCACTTTGGGGAGGATCATGTGATTGTTAAAAAATCATGTGAACATTGCTTGTTGTTGTCGTTTGTTTGTTTCTTAGTTTTATTCCCCTGTAAAAGGTAAATAATTAAGTCAAACCCTTTTTCTACACTGTAGTCCTTAGTCCTCCAAAATGTTTTAAGACTTAACCTTTTGTCTAGCAGTTCTCCAAGTGTGACTAGAGATCCCTCCTCCCACCCCCCCTCTCACAACCCACAATTTGTTTCCCAGAGGCAGGAGTCCCTCATGGTTTGTCTCCCTCTCTGATTTCTTCTCATTCAGTTTTCCCTCCCTTCCCCTATGATCCTCTGCACTATTTCTTATATTCCACATCTGAGTGAAATCATATGATACTTGTCTTTCTCTGATTGACTTATTTCACTTAGCATAATACCCTCCAGTTCCGTCCACATCGTTGTAAGCGGGAGGTATTCATTTAGGGAGTTATTTCTGACATAGTAAAAGATGTTAAGCAGAAGGTAGGATTCAGTAAGATAGTCTTTTCTTGAAACCATATCTGCTACAGAATGAGGAATAACTATCTTGTCCTGTAGTGGGCAGTCACTTTAGCTAAACATAAATAGTATTGTAACTAGATACTCAATTAGATGTAATTGTACTGTAATTAGATACTCAAATGCACATGTATGCACATGTGCAAATATGATGCTTACCGTAGTTCAGGGTCCACCAATCCCAGTTTTTTTTTTTCCTTTGGTGTACCAAGTCTTATGCTTTGATACTGAGAATCTAACAGATAATAAATCATCTCAAAATGGTCCATCCTTACCTTTGTAAGATTACAAATTGTTATTGCATGAGAGCACCATGAAGTGCAGAGTAACTGAGATAGAGGTAGAGAAGCAAGCAAATGTTGCTTTCCTGAGTTATCTCTAGGTTATTTTCAGCCCAAATACATTTCCTATGCAAATTTTGATAAAATTCATGCATGCATACTTTTTTGACCATAATTAACATCAGTAGCCAATTAAGTAATCACATTTTATGGTTTAGATAAACCATAAAATATATAGATTTTTCATAATTTTATATAACATCTTAAAAAAAGGTAAAATGAAGTACTACGGTTATAAATATTTTAAAATTCAGCAGAGGACACAGTACTAAAGATTAGAGGTGCTAAAATTTGGACAAAAATGTAAACTGTGTTCGAAGACATTTTTATATATTTTAGAACTTAATGAAATCCTTGAAGTCATCCTAATAATGAAAGTCACAGAGGAAGTGTATGTTGCATGTGTTTAGCATCTTATTTAAGCTAACTGTAAGCAGTATAAGTCCACAAAAGTATTGTTTGGTATATTAGTTCAGTATATTATAGTATAACAGTGTAGAGCATAACTTAATTGTAAATAGGAAAAGCATATGTTGGACATCTTGCTTTTTCTTGTATCTATTACTTTCCCAAATTTAAGGTAGCTATAGGTCTTTAACAAAGGGTGAAGGAACTTCTAGGGCTGTGGTGGTTACTTCAGTTGATAAGAGAAAGAAGGACAATTTGATTAATGTGGAGAATTAAGAGAGGAATGAATGGAGACACATGTTGATACCATTAGTTTTTGTTTTACTTTGTTTTGTTTTGTTTTTTAACATAGCAGGTGCTTTTCCTGCCAGTGAACTACTTGATTAAAGCTGTAAGTTCTCTGGACTTAAGAAGGTGAATTAAGCATTGCTTGATTTTTTTTTTTTTTTCTCTCAGAACTCCCACTTGTGGATTGGCTTAAGTGAAAATTCCTCCAATAATGTCCAAACCTTCTCATTTGGGGTTTGATATTGTATCATGTCCAAGTGAGTGTCAAATGTTGTCTGGTGATGATGAGAATATTTTTTTTTCATGAGGAATTCTCTTCATGCTTACAGAGCACATTTCTCACAGGGGTCTCAGAGTCCCTGGAAAATAGAAACCTTGCTTGAACTTGAACTATTACCATGTGATTTTTTTTTTTTTTTTTTGCCAGTTACGCTATTACGAGTTTTACATGAATTTTTAAAAAATTGATTCGTTTGGTAAAGTGTAAAATCCTTTAAACATTGGGATGTAATATAACTGATTTTAACTGGTATATTTTAGAAGAGTAACATGCATTGAATTTGAATGATAAACATAAGCACTTTCCAAAGTTGTGAGCTAGGTTTTATGAATAGGGCTTGTTCACTATATATTTACTTACTATAATTCTCATTGAATAGCAGGATATTTGTTATTGCATAGAGTGTTACCATAGCATCCTGAAGATGTCTCTGTATCAGATATGTGTTGTGTGAATGTGTGTGGTTAAGTAGTCTTATTTTGTACTCCTGAAAGCATGAATTTCTAAGCATTTTCTTAGTTTCCTTTAAAAGTAAATCAATAACAGAGGTGCCTGAGTGGCTCAGTCGGTTAAGTGTCTAACTTCCACTCAGGCCATGATCTCTGGGCACCATGTCAGGCTCTGCTCTCAGCATGGAGTCTGCTTGTCCCTGTTGCCCAACTCCCCTTGCTTGTGCTCTCTCTCAAATAAATAAAATCTTAAAAAAAAAATAATAAAAAATAAAAGTAAATCAACAAAAAACTTCAAGAAAATATCCCTAAAACCTTGGGTGTAGGGATCAGGGGATGGTGTATTCTGCCTCAGGATGTGCTTTGGGGAAAATACTTGGAAATCAAGGAATCTCAAGTAGAGCAACTTCAAAATACTTTACTAAGACATGTTCCGTAAGATAATTAAGTCTTGACATGTAAAGACATGTGAATGTAGCATTCTAAAAGAAGAGTTACAGAAGTTTTTTTCTTTCACAGTAATGACTCCTAATAGTTTGCATTAGTTGAATATTTGAAAAACACTAAAATAAATACTTGTGCAGTTACCAGAAGTTGTATTATCTTCTCACTTTCACATTATTGTTATATATCCTTTCATTTCAGCTGGATATGCTAAGTAACCAGATAGCTGCGAATCTGCAAGCAGTCATCAGTGAAGTTTGTAAGCACAGACCACTCAGTTTGGGTAAGTGATTTGCCTGGGGTACACTTCCCTAGAGCTCTGGGATTCTTTAAAAATGTAAAATATTAAGAAAACAATCAAGTTAATAGCAAGTACAATATCCAATAGCAGCAATATTTTCAGGGATTAAATAAATAAAATTTAACTATCCAAAGGATTCCTAATCCCCTTATTAACAAGTTATAGTTGTTTGGAGAGGAGACCTCTTTAACGTGAATAAGGAATACATCCTGAAATCTTTGTAAATTCCATTATTTCTACCATTAAATGTAATAAACGTTGAAAGAAAGCTGTAACTGATTGCCTTAAACTTGCAATGGTGTTAAATAGAAACTAAAATCAGGGGTGCCTGGGTGGCTCAGTTGTTGAGCGTCTGCCTTCGGCTCAGGTCATGATCCCAGGGTTCTGGGATCGAGCCCTGCATCGGGCTCCCTGCTCGGCGGGGGGCCTGCTTCTCCCTCTCCCACTCCCCCTGCTTGTGTTCCCTCTCTCGCTGTGTCTCTCTCTGTCAAATAAATAAATAAAAGATCTTAAAAAAAAAAAAAATCATTTATGAAATATTTTTTGGCTAGATCATTCACTTTATCACTGGAACTAGCAATTGTCTTTTTTAATCTTACTTATTTTTAAAAAAGAACAAAGTTTTTAATCATGTCATGAGAGTCACTTCTTATAAACAGGGTGGTTCATGGAGAGCAGTGAAACTTGATTGAGATGTGGGAGCTGTTTCATAGGCTGGGAACACAGAGCCAGACCCTTACTGTCACATTATGTGCCAAGCATGTTGTCTCCTCAGACGAATTTCACTCCTGGCTGGTTGCAGCCCAAAAAGGGTTCATTATACTCAGTAGACTCTTCATTTATAGACTTAACATGATAGGACTCTGTCAGGTTTAGTTTTATAACCAAGTGTGTAATTAAAACATAATCCTAAGCTATTTTTTACCTTCTTTGGGAGTTAGCACACTGGTGAATAAATACCTCACTTGTTAATTCTGCTGCCATAGATATGATCGTGGTACTTAGTAATTGTATGTGTATGCATTCTTATATTCCATGGAGCACTGATTTCAGTATAGGATCTTCTGAGACTGGCAGGAATGAAATGATGGACAGCAAATCTCTAAAAGCAGTGTGTCCTCTTTTTGCCATTTTTTAAATTGCAGTGTAGTTAACATACAATATTCTTTTAGTTTCAAGTGTACAATGTAATAATTCAACATTTGTATACATTGCAAATTGATCACCACCATAAGTCTAGTTACCGTCTGTCACCATACAAAGTTAATACAGTAACACTGACTTTATTCCCTGTGCTGTACATTATATCCCCTTGGCTTATTTATTTCATAACTGAATGTTTGTACCTCCTGATTCCCTTCACCCATTTTGTCCCCTCCCCCAAATCCCTTCCCCCCAGCACCCACCACCCTGTTCTCTGTATCTATGAGACTGAGTTTGGTTTGGTTTTGTTTGTTTTGTATTTTAGATTTCACTTAAAATGAAATCGCTGATACTTGTCTTTCTCTCTCTGACTCATTTCACTTAGCATAGTATCCTCAAGGTCCATTACTGTCACAAATAGTAAGATTTCATTTTTTAAGATGCCTGAGTAGTATTCCATTGTGTGTGCGTGCGTGTGTGTGTGTGTGTATACACCACATCTTTATTCATTCATGTATGGATGGACACTTAGGTTGTTTCCATATCTTGGCTAATGTAAATATGCTGCAAGGAACACAGGGGTGCATGTATCTTTTCAAACTAGTGTGTTCATTTTCTTCCAATATATACCCAAAAGTGGAATTGCTGGATCATATTGTCATTCTCTTGGTGATTTTTTGAGGAATTCTCATTCTCTTTTCCAGTGTCTGCCCTAATTTACATTCCCACTAACAGTGCATGAGGGTTCTTTTTTTCTCCACATCCTTGCCAACCATTATTTTTGATAATAGCCACTCTGACAGGTGTGAGGTGATAACTCGTGGTTTTGATTTGCATTTCCCTGGTGATTAATGATGTTGAGCTTCTTTTCATGTACCTGTTATCCACTTGTATGTCTTTGAGAAAATGTCTATTTAGATTCTGTGCCCAATTTTAAATTGGATTTTTTTGGTTATTGAGTTGTGTGAGTTCTTTACAAATTTTAGATATTAATCCCTTATTAGATATATGATTTGCAAATACCTTCTTCTATTCACCAGCTTGCCTTTTGATTTTGTTGATGGTTTCCTTTGCTGTTCAGAGCTTTTTAGTTTGATATAGGCCCATTTGTTTATTTTGTTATTTTTGCCCTTTGTAGTCATCAAAAAAAACCCCTGCTAAGACCAATGTTGAGGAGCTTACCAAATGTGTTTTCTTCTAGGAGTTTTATGGTTTCAGGTCTTACTTTCAAGTCTTTAATCTATTTGAGTTAATTTTTGTATGTGGTGTGGGGTATTGGTTCAGTTTCCCTCTTTTGCATGTAGCTGTTCAGTTTTCCCAACACCATTTATTAAAGAGACTGTCCTTCCTCCATTGTATATCCTTGCCTCCTTTGTTGTGGATTAATTGACTATATATGTATGGTTTTATTTCTGGGCTCTCTATTCTGTTCCATCAATCCATATGTCTTTTTATGTCAATACCATACTGTTTTAATTACTATAGCTTTGTACTGTAGTTTAAAATCAGGAGGCTTGATATCTTTCTTTGTTCTTTCTCAAGATTGCTTTGGCTATTCAGGGTCTTTTGTGGTTCCATACAAATTTTGGAATTATTTGTTCTATTTCTATGAGGAATACTATTGGAATTTTGATAGGGATTGCTTTGAATTTATAGATTGCTTTGGGTAATATGTACATCCTAACAATATTAATTCTTCTAATCCATGAGCATGGAATATCTATTTCTTTGTATTATCTTCAGTTTCTTTCATCACTGTCTTGCAGTGTCCAGTATACTAATCTTTCACCTTCTTTATTAGATTTATTCCTAGATATTTTATTCTTTTCAGTGCAATTGTAAATGGGATTGTTTTCTTAATTTCTCTTTCTGGTAATTTGTTGTTAGTGTGTAGAAACAATTGATTTTTGTATATTGATTTTGTACCCTGCCACTTTACTGAATTTTTTTATTGGTTCTAATAGTTTTTTGGTGTAGTCTTCATCTTTTTTTATATATAATATCATGTCTTCTGCAGACATGGACAATTTTACATCTTCCTTTCCTATTTGGGTGCCTTTTTTTTTTTCTTTCTTGCCTAAGTTCTGTGACTAGGTATTCCAGTGCTATGTTGAGTAATAGTGGGGAGAGTGGGCATCCTTGTCTCGTTCCTGATCTTAGAGGAAAAGCTTCCAGCTTTTCATCATTTAGTATATTAATTGTGGGTTTGTATATGACCTTTATTATGTTAAGGTGTGTATGTTCTCTCTTTAATTGCTTTGTTGAAAGTTTTTATTGCAAATGGATGTGACTTTTGTCAGATGCTTTTTCTGCATCTATTGAGGTGATCATATTTTTATTTTTCATTTTGTTAATCTGTATCACATTGATTGATGTACACATGTTGAACCATCCTTTAATCCCTGGAATAAATCCCACTTAGTCATGGTGTATGATTCTTTTAATGTATATTTGAATTTGGTTTGCTAATATTTTGTTGAGGATTTTTGCATATGTGTTCATCAGGGTTATTGACCTGTAATTTTCTTCTTTTTTTTGTGGCATTGTTGTCTAATTTTGGTATCAGGGTAATGATACTGGCCTCATAAAATGAGTTTGGAAGCATTCTGTCCTCTTCAGTTTTCTGGGAGAGCTTAAGAAGGCTAGGTACTAAATCTTCCTTGAATGTCTGTTAGAATTCACCAGTCAAGCCATCTGGTCTTGGGTTTTTGTTTGTTGGGAAGTTTTTGATTACTGATTCATTCAGTCTCTTTGCTATTATCAGTCTGTTCACATTTTTTGTTCTTCCTGATTCAGTCTTGGAAGTTTGTTTGTTTCTAGGTATTTGATAATTTTTGCTAGCTTGTCCAGTTTGTTGGCATGTAATTGTTCATAGTAGTCTCTTGCGATCCTTTGTATTTCTGTGGTATCAGTTAAAATTCTCTTTCATTTCTGATTTTATTTATTTGAGCCACCCTTTTTTTTTCTTAGTGAGTCTAATTAATGGTTTGTCAATTTTGTTTATCTTTTCAATGAACCAGCTCTTAGTTTCATTCATCTTTTCTATTGCCCTTTTAGGTCTATTTCATTTCTTTCTTTTTTTTCCATTTATTTCCACTCATATCTTTATTATTTCTTTCCTTCTGCTAACTTTGTTTCATTTGTTCCTCATTTTGTAGTTCCTTTAGGTTTTAAAGTTAAATTGTTTGAGATTTTTCAAGAAGATGTGGTATATATATACAATGGAATATTATGCAGCCATCAAAAGGAATGAGATCTTGCCATTTGCAA